TACCTCTCTCACTGCTTTATTTCATTTACACTTGCATGTCCACTGTGCACTGATTATCCCTTTTTACTATCTGATAAATTTATCCGAGTGCCAAATTTCAGGACCACAGTTAATTTACAAGTTTGGGGGGGCCATGCCACCCACTTTGGATATTGCAATCCCAGCCATTCTTTGCTTTAATTGCACCGGTATACTCTTTCCTTTGTTCTCTTTGCACATTGAGGACATTGTGCCGTTTAAGTTTGGGGGTAATGGTGTATGTTATAGTGTTTTCTTTTAAATTCAAAATTTTGAGCATGACTTGTGTATTTGAGAGATTCTCTATAATTGGTCCATATCTAGCTATGATTTTGATCTTCTGAGGATTGTATTGCTTAAACTTTAAAAATTGCTTGACTTGAGAGTCCAATACTCTTTGTATGCCTTATGGATGCCATTTAGGAGTAAATTTTTCAAAAGATTGATATCTCGCTTGCACTTGTGGTCCACATCATCTTGATTTTGTGATTGTTTTGAGATTCACTTTTGGATTCTACACTAGCACAGGCGCACACTAGCATTCATTTGTGGGGTACATGCTTAGTTGATTATTGAATTGGTTATATCCCAATTGGGCTAGTAGTGCATTGAAAGTTTTCATTCTTGATAAAGGTGGATAACAACCCCTTTTCACTAAATAGCCGGGATTCTAGCCTCATCAAGCATTGAATTTCTCGCGCCGAAAGGTGGAGGGCCCAAACTCTAGGTTAATAATTGAACTTGATAAAAAAAAAAAAAAAAAAAAAAAAAAAAAAAAAAAAAAAAAAAAAAAAAAAAGAAGTTGCAAAAGTAATAAAAAAGTGAAGACTTCTCCCAAAAGGTGAAAAGTGGGAAATGATTAGATGGAGGTTGTCTTGATTTGTAGCCTAGTTGATTTGAGCTTGTAAGTCCGTAGAGGTGTTTGAACACTTAATGCCCTAAAGCCGTTTGGTTTGGGAGTCATTGACCTAACGCTCGACCTTATGAATCACTAGAAAGCTTAATAAATTAACACATTGCACCATGCTTCCATCTTTGATCCTAAAAAAAAAAAAAAAAAAAAAAAACACCCTAGTGAAAAAAGAATAAGCACACCTAGAATAACAAAGCTTTAATAAAAAGGTCCACTTTTTGTTTTGATGATTGGTACTAGATTTGTGTGCTAGTTTGAGGGTAAAGATATGATTAATTCTTTAGTTGGCTTAGATAGCAACATATTTGATGCCAGTCCACTCAAAAAGGATTCTAGAGTTATTTCGATTTGCATAATCATTTTCTTGATGTGTGGAAGACCATATTTGCTTGCTTGATGTTGAGATTTTGGGAGATTGCTTGGAAAGGGTTAAAAAATTGCATACTTGAGGTAGTTTTCTCCCAATGCTTGTTTGCAATATTGGTGTCTCTTTTGAAAAATGAGCTTAATGTTTATGGATATCATTTCTGGAAACCCTCACGAGACTTCACTCGTCCACTAGGGGTAACCTAGGGGTTTAAAAGGCTTGTTGCATATGCTAAGTGCAATCGTGTTCCCTACAAAAGTGGCATTACCATTTATTGTTTTCTAATTCATAGTTGTTTAGTTATTCATTTCATTCCTTTACTTTCTAGTTCATTGTTAGGGACTAGCAATATTTAAGTTTGGGGGTGTGATGAGCGCTGAAAAGTGCGTATTTAAAGCCCTTAAACTTAGGCATTCTAGTACCTTTATCTATCTTACTTTACCGTTTTAGATTGATTTCATATTATTTCCATTTTCAGGCACTTGTCCTGAAAATAAGCTAACTCAGCCAAATAAGAGCAGAAATGAAGCAATTCTGGGATGAATCAAAGAAATGAGCCAAGTAGAAGCAAAAGGAAAAAAAAGGTGAAAATCAACGTCTTCGATTGATCTCAGATCAGAGTTCGATCGATCCAACATGATCGATCTCAGCACTTCAAGATGGATTAGAGCCATGATGACATTTTCAGAGATCTCAAAAGTTTAATCGATCCAACATCATTCTTCGATCGATCGAACTACCTTGTCCTTATCAAAATGATTGATCTTATCTAGTTGTACCACCCTACCAACCACTTTTGTCCTTTTCCCAAAAATATCTTCAAAATATCTCAGATTTGTTTTTATCCAAAAAGCGCTGTCATTGAGGATCGATCCAGCCTAAGTTCGATAGATCTCAGCTATGTTCGATCGATCCAAGTCCAAGATTCGATCGATCGAACTTCCTCTAGTTCGAAAAGTTAAATTTCTAGCTCATTGAAAGTTGTCCTTTATCCAATCATTGGGGAATATTTGTTGTACGACCCCTGCTCATTTTGTGTGTCATTTGACCTACCTATATAAGGATAAGGATTACTTTTTACACCATAACATATCATATCACATCATATCATCTCATACCTTGTAAGAACTCTTAGAGAGCAAGCTTAGAGGAGGAGGAGGCTAGAGACACCATTGAAGACTCTTCATCAACCAAGGAGCAAATCTATACCATGGAGTTAGCCCTTGAGGGTTGGAGAAACACTACCATGAGTGGCTAGACATCCTCTTAGGGCTAGAGTTAGCCCCAAACATATTTTCTACATCTTAATTTTGTGTATTATTGAGGGATTAGTGTTGTAATACATGCTTTGGTACTTTTATATATATAGATCTTGTTTATTCAATGATTTATGTGGTTTAATGCTTCCAATTGATCATTTCATTCTATCCATATGTTTATGTATGCTAGAATAGATGTTCATGTGTTTGTCTCTATTTCTTGTGTTATTGATGCATGTCTATGTGTATTAATGCCATAGATCTAGAGATTGTCAAAACATTGTACTTAATGGAATGCTCTTGTAATTTTCTAAATGGTTCATGTTCATTTCTTGATGGATTGTGCCTCTCCCTTAGCTTAATTAGTTTAATTTCATGTCATTAACTTAATTGCAGTGTAGTGGTAGCATAGTTGTTAGATGGGAGGACAATCCATGCTTGTTGTTTAATGTTTCATACTTTTGAATGCAAGTAGCACATGTCTCTAACTTTGTGGTGTATTTGGTTTGCGAGCTTAATAAAAGATTAAGGACTTGCAAGATATATTGTGCTTTTCACATGCTATTTAGACAATATATACTTAATTGTTAGATATACTGTATTTTTCACATGTTGCTTAGGCAATATATGCTTAATTAGTCACCCTTACTAATTGAATCAACCAAACACACACACATCAATATTGCAACACACATTTCCCTCATTAGTCACTTGTTAAGGATGTAGAAAAGTATTGCTTGGTGGTGACCTTTAAACCCCAAGAACTCTCTCTCTCTTACTTACTCTTTATTACATTCAATTATTTAGTTTAATTTGCTCTCTAGTTTAATCAACCAACCAGCTATTTGTTTGATCACTCGACCTACTAACCCTAATTGTGATTCCACAACCAAATTCGACTCCAATCCCTTGGGACGATCCTTACTCACCCTAATTATATTTTTAGTGAAGGTAGTAGTGGCTTCTATAAATGTAAAACTTGGCCCTCGCCTTAATGCACACTCTTAAGCTTGTGGTAGAACGACGACACACCATCAGGCATAAAATAATGATTACGTCAATTGTGCTTGGGAATTGCAAAAATTAGTTTCGTTTATTGTTTCAGACTCTTCAAAAGGCCTAGACTTGTGGGACAAGTTGATATCCTTTTAAAGTAATTCTTTATATGAACCCTAATCAGATTTCAAGGAGTGCTCCAATTTAGTGAGAATTGTATTATGCCTATCAAGAGACAATAGATGATTGAGTGGAAATTCTTTATTGTAGCCCTTCATCTTTTTCATAATGAAATTGTTTGTTTGGTGCACTGTGGACGTTGCTCAAGTTTTGGGTGAATCACGTCTATCTTGTATTCTTTTATGATTGTCTATTTTTTTTTTTAAGTTGCTTTATGTTTATTTTACTACTCGAACATCGTTATTTAGAGTTTTCGTCACAAGAAGTATTATTATAAGACTTCAAAACAGTGGAAATAATGTTCCCAATGTAAAATTATTGGAAGAGATTGAAATCAATTTTTTTTCCCCTACCTAAAAATAAAAAATAAAAATAAAAAAATCTCTCACAAGGCTCTCCTAAAAAACGCTACTATAAGATACTAAGAGGTCAAATATTTTTGGCGGTACGAGGTTGAGTCATTTAACCAAGAAACTCTAGTGATACTTTATCACTTTCAAAAGAAAAAAGTTCGGAATTGATATGTCCCTGTACCTAGAGTAAGTTTTTTGTTGATGAAAAAAAAAATAATACTCCCTTTGTTTTAAAAATGTGTTTATCTTTTTTTTTTTTTTGACTGTTCGAAAATAATTGTCGATTTTCTTTTTCAAACAATATGTTTCACATTTTTCTATATATATCCTTGAAATTTAAAATTTCAAATTTGAATATTAAAAACTTAAAAAGGTAAGTTAGTAACTTTACATGGTGACAATGTATGTCTCCCATGTCCCCATAAAAATTATTATTCTCCAAAAACAACACTTAAATTAGAACAGAGGGACTAATAAATTAACCAAGTATAGGTAGTGGTGAATTTAGACATTGCTGAAAAAAGAAAAAAAATTAGACATTGTTTTCCAAATCCAAATGTTATACATATATTTGAAAAAGAAAAAGAAAAAGAAAAAGTGAGAATCCAATTCCCCCGGCCCTATAAATGTCAGAACCACCTCCGAAGACCAAGAACCCAAAAGAAAGGAAAACAATTTCCACTGCACATTGCCTTGTTCCCACTTATAGCCAACTCTCTCTTTCTTCTCTCTCACCATATCCTCTTTCTCTCTCTTCGCCATGAACATAAAAGCAGCAGTGAACTCTCTCTGCTCTCTGTTTGAACAGATGACCTCTGCCAAGATTTTGATCCTCACCCAATTCTCTTTCGAGTGAAAACCCATAAACAAAATCCCACTCCACAACCCAAAAGTCAATCCGAATTCCCCAAAAAATGGATTCATTCAACATCGCAGATCTCAAAGTCGAGAAGGCCAACGCGATCCTGAGGTACCGCCGGCTTCAAAGGATCACTTCTCTGCTCCGGTTCGTGGAACTCTGCGTGGTTCTGATCGTAATCTCCAAGTACTCCACTCAGTTTAGTGCCGTTTTTGGACTCTCCGGCGAGTTTTTCCGGCGACTATCAGTGACCCTTTTCAGTCCTCGCTTCGTGTTTGTCATCGGAAACGCCATAGTCATAGTTCTCTTCATCTTATCGGGACGCTACACAAACCAAGGTGACAGCAGAAACAGCAACAAAACAGATCTCTACGAACAGTACGTGGAAATCATGGAAAAGAATAAGAAAAAACAGAGTGTTTGCGAGGACGATGTTTCAGCATCATCTATGGCGAACACATATATGTACAGTTTGGCAGAAAGGAAGATTCACAGGACTCATTCAGTGGAGAGTGTGAAGAGTGAGAAACCTCGCCGTGAACTTAGGCGATCGGCGACGGAGATGTGCAAGAAGAGTGTGAATTCCGGCGAGAAAGTGGCCGTGGCTTCGGACGAGATGAGCAGCGAGGAGTTCCGGCAGACGGTGGAGGCTTTCATTGCCAGGCAACAGAAGTTTCTCAGGGAAGAAGAGTTCTCTGCTATTGTTTCATAGCTTTCTTTGCTCATCCATATAAACCCTGTTTCTACTCTTATGCTGTTTTTCTGAATATAGGTAATGTTAATACCTGTATAAAAATAAATAAATAAATAGTAATGTTAATTAAAATATTACTAGAATTAAATCACTTCTTGTTTTTTCCTTTTTGTTTTTTTGGGAGTACTTAATTTTTCTTTTTTGATTATTCATGGGGAGTTCTTGGTCAATTATTTCTATTTTCCATTTATCCTAAATAAATAATATATACAGAGAGAGTAGAAATTCTGGTAATGGATGTTACTACCTAACTAAGAGCTGTTTGGCATATTCTTTTGGATAGGAAGAGACACGAGATGAGATATATGAGAGAATAATACTATTCTAAATTCTTCCTCAATTAGAATAGTATTTCTCAATAGAGAGAATGGATTTTGGGAAATGTTCGCACTGAGAAGTGTTTGGGATGCAAATTTTCCTGAAGAAAAGGAAAAGGGAAAGGGAAAGGAAAAGCAAAAGGAATTGGGAGTAGCATGTGAGAATAGTATGCTAAATTGTTGTTTGTTAATGGTTGGAATTTCAAAACATGTTGGAGATCAAGCATTAAAATTCCAACAAGTTGGAGAATTAAAGCCACTAGTGAGTGAACCAGCCAACAGTACTGATGCCTCCCGAAAGCGTCTTTATATGTATACCAAAAATCATATTTTTTTTTTACTTAATTAAGTCTATATAGATCGAGTTTATATACTTAATTGCATGGTTTGTTGTCCCAAAATTTTGAAGAATTTTGTGAAGAAAGAAAAATATTATGCAAGAGAAATCATTTTTATCAAATTTTTTTTTTTTTTTTTAAAAGACTTGGAACGTTTTTCGTAATTATTGATTGTTGGATGAATGCTCCAAGCCCGAATTTTGGGAAAATTGATCGATTGGACTTATTTAGGAAAAAAAAAAAACTTGTAAGGTTGTATATTATTATGTAGAATTGATTGTCGAATCCTTTATGACCCGTTTGGATCGCCAGGGGGCCAAATGGGCATGTTGACAGATTTTTTGAACTGATACAAAGTGTCTATTTTTTACTAACAGGAGAATTTTTGACTGAAAAAAAATACAAAGCGTCTATTTTTTAACTAACAGGAGAATTTTTGACTGAAAATGTCCTAATGAGCAAGACTACATACGTCATTTTTGGCAAAATACCATCATTTAGGGCCTCAAAACGAGATTTTTCTATACTATAGGAAGCCCATTGAAAATTTTAGAATTTTTGTTCGTTCGGTAAATGAACTCCGATTGCGTTCAAATTTTATATTTAATAGTTTTATTTGATTAAACTTCTTTCTCTATTTTTTTAGAATTTGTTAAGACACTTTATTTTTAAGTTTATTTTTGAATATTAATATCTTTTCGAGATTACATTTACTTATGTTATAAGGTTCTGTGTTGCAAGTTAGTTTCCTTATGAATTAATGTTTTCGTTCATTATAAAAATATATACGGAGTCTAATGCAAGGCAGAATCACATGTTAAATTATCAATATAATTATCAAATTTTATCTAAATTTGTCTCTTACCTTGTGAATTCAAAGTAATTTATCATTCACATCATTATAAATATATATAATGTAGAGCCGAGTCACACATTCAATTATCAATACAATTATAAGATTTTCTTATACCATTATCTTGAGTGAAATTTCTTGGCCATTTTATACAAAGTAAATAAATAAATAAAATAAAGTCGCGCGTGTTTGTTCATTTGCATATCTTTCACCTTTAATTTGAATTCTAATTTTAAATAGGAAGGTGTTAACCGTGATATTCATACTCTTTCTTCTAATATTTAATTATCTTATTATAAGTTAGAAACAATAATCTCATTTCTGTTAACCAAATATGTATATATATAGATATATATATTAGTGTCATTTCACTATAAATAAGAAATTTATTTATCAATGAGGAGAATACAAATATTCCTCCGTTCAAAATATCTTATAATAAAGTTTCCAATCAAACTATGTAATTACTAGATAGGATCAGTAGTAGAAGGGTTACAAATGAACTAAAATGTTCATGTACAACTGCAAATTGATTGGAGTTTGCTCGTCAAGTTAAGTTTGAACTGATTTTACTTTTTCCTTGACGTCAATTGTCAAATCTGATTCCAAATCATAGCATAAATCCATTATTTTACCCTTTGAAAGAAAAAAAAAAAAAAAAAAAAAAAAGAATTATTAAACTTGAACTTGATTTTTGAGTTACTTTAATAAATGAGCCGAACTTAAATTCAATTTTTGATCTCATTTAGTAAATAAGTTAATCATAAAATTTCATAGGCTCAACTCGTGAAAGCTTTTGAACACAAAACTCGTGTAGGCTCGCATGTGACTATGAATATAAATTTGTGTAGACTTATATAGGTTTATGAACATAAACCTATGAACATGCGTTAGACTTGAAAGGCCCATGTAAGGCTCGTGTCAAAGTTGTTTTGAACACAAGTTGTTATTGACTAATTATGACCTAATGAGTTGGTTCATCAGGTGTGTCAAGGGCCTCAAGGCTCAAGATATAAGATGATTGATTTACTTTAACTGCTAATGTCCAGCTGGTGCCTTGAATCTCTCTTATAAAGTATAAAACCTATTTCTTATCTTCTTTTTCTTTTCCGGGTAATTTATGGATTATCAAGCCAAGTTGTATGGATCATTGGATCAATCATGACACTGTATGTATAAATATCTACAATATATTTTTATATATTTAAATCAATAAAACTGCTTAAAAAAAGAAAAAAGAAAAAAGAAGAAACAAAATTATGAGCATGCAGGTTGTTGAGTGGTACTCACTCTATGATGTTCCCATTCATTGGTAAGAAATAAAAACAAACGTTCACCAGAATCACCACCACCAATATGCTATTATGTATGATATTACAAGTTGGGGTTAGTAGAATGGTAGGTAAGACGTTGGCTCCAACAATTTGGTAAGTGTGTACATGCCTGTGTTTGTGACTGTGTATATATAGTGGGAAGTTCTTATAAGCACCCACAAAATTATACTCCGGTTATAAGAGGAGAGGATCTTAAATTCTTAACTATAGTAACATATATCTAGTTATTATAAAAAATGATATTAACGCTCCACTATTATACTCTAGTGACTCCAACAATCAGGGAAAGATGTCAGGGTTTTAATTCATGGTGAGTCAGGGAGGAGAGAGATGGAAAGAGATTTGGAAAAGTTTCAAAGTGAAAAGAGTTAAAAGAGAAGCAAGTGTGAGTTACGCCGTGCGGAAGCTGTTAGTTGATTTAATTGTGATTAAATCTCTAAATGACCTAGATGAGATTATAAAGTCAACGACTTGCCTAATTTTTGTGATTGATTAATTTATCCAACCAATATGATCAATTAAACATCCACAATCACCAAGTTAAATACTGAAAAGTAAAGTAAGTAAAGTTAGAGAGATGACACCAGAATTTTAGCGAGGAAACCAATTGGAAAATTTCGAGAATTTTTGCGCTGTCTTGAGTGTAAATTAATGATCCACTATGTATAAAGCAAAATACACTGAACTTTAACTCAAGCTCACACCCCTTCACTCTACCAAGACCCAAGTTGCTGAACACCTCTGACTTTGCGACTTCCCGTCCAACAGCTCTCGACTTCAGACTTATGCCTCGAACCTTGTAAAAGGATTGCTGGTAGATCAACAACACTGCGCAAGTGCCTTGATCCCTTCAAAGTGTGATGTGAAATTCTTCTTCTTCGAATCTGAATTTGCTGTAGAAGAAACAGATTTGCTTTTCGGAATTTATGAATCTTCAATTATGCTCCAATTCTGATGAGATAAAGAATAATACTTCTAAATCACTCTTGTATATATGTGTGTGCTTTCAGAACAAAAACAGAAAAATCAAATTTGATTTTCTGAACAATATCTCTCAAAAGGTTCTCTCAAAATAATGAATTTTTGTTCCAAAAAGCCGTCTGTCAATGTTGAATAAAAGAGAGATTATATAGAAGTTTGGAAGACCTAAAAATACTTGGAAACCAAGTCAATTTTGTGCATAGGTTTTTGAAAGGAAGTCTACCCACAATAGGAATCAAAACAGACTAGGAAGGTAAGTTACCAAAACAGATCTGAAGACCTAAAATCGGATCAGGATGGTTGAACCGGTTTAAGTTGGCCAGACTTGAAAAACACTAAAAGCCTCAAAAGTTAAAACCTGTTCCAAGATACTTGAACCAGTTCAAGTTCGGCAAAATGTAAAGTCTTCCTAAAACCTTAAGTTTCAACCTCAAGTTGGGCAAGTGTACTCACACACTCTCTTACCTCTTTAAAACATTGTTCTTATCATCCCGGAGTTATCAAAGCATGAACACTTGAACTTCTTCAAATCCGCTTCTAATCTTAAATCTTGAAATTCTGAACCAAAATTTTACAACTCGATTGAACTCGTTTTGTTAGCGATATTAACCAATCAAAAAATATATATCTCACAACAAGATCTCTCTAAGTAGATGGAAAGAGGCACCACTAACCCACCGAATAACAATACACAAATTAAAGACTTTGAACAAGAAATTAAATCAATACACGAATTAAAGACTTTAAACAAGAAATTAAATCTTAATAAATCAATAACAATCCCATGAATCATATAAAATTTGAGATTTGTCTTTATTTAATCCCATTATAGACTTTCACATATTCTTTCTTCACAAAAGAGAATTCTCAGCGATGAAGTAGATCCAAAAAAAAAATTAGTAGAGAGAGAGCAAACATAACAATTTTAATTTTTATATTACGTTGAATTGATTTACATTAATATGGGACATTAGTTAGTTGACACTATGTAAATATCTTTGTTTGAGGGTGAAGGTATCGAGTGAGTAAAATAATAATTAATCCCAAACTTTGTCAAGTTTTATCGATAACACATTGGTACGAAAGTAACAAAACTCTATAAAAGAACTTCATGACTCACTTTTAGAGAATAACT